TTCTCAGTGCTGTGCTTTAACCCACTGCGCCACCAGGGAGGGCCTTGACCCTTCTCTTACTGAATTCCTCAGATCTATGGTCAGCTCACAAGTTTTGTCTTTCTCTTAACCTTTTATTCAGTTTCTTCTACTGATACTTGGAAACACCTGATAATTATCTTTTTCTTCTGACTTGTTTTGCTAAGCATAATCCCTTTTACCTCCATCCATGTTGCTGTGAATGGCATGAGTTTATCTTTTTTGATTGCTGATCCATTCTTCTGTTTGGGGGCAGTTAGTTTGTCTCCGTATCTTGACTGTTGTAAATAGTGCCACAATAAAAATAGGAGTGCAGATTTCCTTTTGAATTAGTATTTTTGTGTTCTTTCGGTTGACACTTAGGAGTGTAATTACTGGGTCACATGGCAGAATGTAATTATTGGGTCACATGGTAATTGCTGGTTTTATGAAGAACTTTAATGGTGCTTTTCATAAAGGCTGGACGAGTTAACATTTCCACCAGGAGTGTAAAAAGGTTCTTTTCTCCACATCTTTGGCAGCACTTGTTGTTTCTGGTCTTTTTAAATATGGGATAGCCTTTATGGTTGAAATGTGATCCTTCCCCCCACTTTATTGAGTTTTTATAAAAAATGGATGCTGAATCTTGTGAAGTGCATTTTCTGTATTTTGTTGAAATGATAGGATTTTTTTTGCCCTTTCTTTATGTGGTATAGTAAAGTATTGATTTACGTAAATTGAACTGTCACCCCAGGAATACATCTCACTTGGTGATGGTATATAATGCTTTTAATGTATTGTTGAGTTGAATTTGCTAGTATTTTGTTGAAAAGCTTTCCATGTATGTTCATCAGAGATATTGTTCTATGATTTTTTTTAGATTTACTTCACTGAATTTGGTATAGGGTAATGTTGGCCTCATAATATATACCTAGAACTATTTCCTCTTTGTCAGTTTTGTGGAAGAGTTTGAGAATAGGCATTAATTTTTATTTGAACATTTGGTAGAATTTATTTGTAAAGACATATGATCCTAGATTTAGGTGTTTTTGATTACAGCTTCAATTTCTTCTTGTGACCAGTCCATTCAAATTTTCTATTTTTTCTTAGTTCACTTGACGTAGACTCTATTTTAAAATTTATCTATTTTTGTAGACTATTGAATTTTTGGGCATATTTGTTTATGCCCACATGAGTTTTTGCATCCTTTGGTAATTGTTAATATATCCTCTTTTCCACTTGTGATGCTATTTATTATAGTATCTTTTTAGCTAAAGACTTGCTCATTTTATTTTCAAAGAACCAGCTATTGGTACCATTACCACTTTTTTGTTTCTATTTCATCCATTTCTGCTCTGATTTTTATTACTCTTCTACTAACTTTTGGTTTCATTTATTTTTCAGGTCCTTTAGATGTAAGCTTAATTTGTGTATTTGGGATTTTTTTGTTTGTTTCTTGATTTGAATCTGTAATCTTAGTACCAGACTATCTGTACTAATCTTTTGCTGCATCTCTGAGATTATTTTTCCCATCCCCTTTTTTGCTTGTTTTGCTTTGCATCCCTTAGAACAAAAATAAGGATCACCGAGTCAGTGTTCAACTGCTAAAGAATAACAGCAGGGCATATCTTCAGAGCTTGAATGAAATTATAAGGACTTGGTGCAATACAGTAGATCTTTGGTGGGGGATTATAAGGACTTGTTGATGCAATACAGTAGATCTTTGGTGGGGGTGTGTGTGTATATATACACATGTATATGTACATATTTGTGTGTGTGTGTGTGAGAGAGAGACCTGATGACTTACATTTCTTCTTAATCAGAGTCTTGTAGTCAAATTAACTATACCAACATGATTTAGCTTCAAGCATACACATAAAGTTATCAGTGTTTTTTTTTTTTTTTTTAATTTAAGACCTCAGAATATTCAAGTTTGAATTCAGGTCGTTGGGAAGTGAGTTAACTTGTACTATGCAAGTATGCTACATTTCTACTGTGATCAATCATTAGGAAGATTATTCCTTAGACTATCCTTAGTTTCATCCAATAAAATACAGAGAATACAGAAAAAGCATGCCAGCCAGTTAAATGTTCAATAATGCATGAGTCTTATTCTCGTAACACTGACATCTCAGATTTTGATAACTTACATGTTCATTTTAGTTTATCTCCAGGTATTTTTTATTTTTGCTTTCATTTCCTTACTGACTCAGTGGATGTTCAGAGACCTGTTTAATTTTCATCTTCTTTGTTTTATGATCATGTGAAAGAGTAATTCAAAAGCATATTTTTTAACTTAGAAAGAGTAGTAAGTGAGGGGAAAAGGCAAATGATAGCAAAGTGTACGAAGCAGTAAATACAAATTCCTCTTAGTTTTCTGAGTCCTTCCAGAAACTTTTTTGGGGGGCATGTACAGTTTATATAAAGGAAAGAAAAGGAAAAATTGGTCATTCTTTAGTTTGCTTTATTTCATTTAGTATTTAAAAAGGCATTCTTTCGTAGTTCTACCTCAGTCCTTATTATGGTTGTTTTATATGATAATAATTTAACCAACTGTTTTGATGAACTTGCCATTTTTTTTTTTAACCATACAGCTACTTTGAAATTCTGCTGATCTTCACTGACAAAGTGAAGGTTGTGCAGTTTATTTTCCATCTTCCTAAACCTTTTCCCTCTTACTCTTTTTAAAAGGTAGTAGTGAGTTCCTTTAAAAAGTTCTCCTATTTACTTTTCAGGGCACTGGCACTGGCATTGACATGTAGCTTTTAGTGCAAAGAATTGACATCTAAACTTGGTGTACATTCTTCACTTTGTTATCTATGTTGACTAAAAATAAATGCTTACAGCTTTTTGTTTGCTTTTTACATGTAGTGTCCAGGAGGAGATTATGTGTAGTGTTAGAGGTAGCATCCAGATTAAGCAATATAGGTGTTTGAGAAAGTGGAAATAGGAGAGTAATAGCTCTTTGCAGCACCTGACTATGGAAGGTGGGACAGGAGAGGAGCAGTTCTTAGCATTTTTTTTTTTTATTGATTATCCTCTGAATAAGTTTTAAGTTGGATCTCTATGGTAATGTATTTTTTTTCTTAATCTTCCTAGCCTCCACCAGGCAATGTGAAAATGCCTAATGTACCCAGTACACAGCCAGCTATAATGAAACCAACAGAGGAACATCCAGCTTATACACAGATTGCAAAGGTTAGTCATGTCACATGTGTAAGTTCATATTGGAAATTAGAATATATTTTCTTTCAGAGCAAAATAATTTTTTTTACAGTTGCATTTTTTTTAAAGATTTATTTGTGAATACAGAACTGGGGTACAAGTCAGAGACTCAGGGGTGGTGAGAGGCTTCACCAGAGACAGAGTGGGGAGCAGAACAGGCAGATGGACAAAGTACACTGCTGAGGGGAGCAGCGGGCGGGCCAGGAGAGGTCTGCCACGCCGAGGCCAGGCGGAATCGAACTCATGAGCAAGTGGCTTTAGCTTCTCAGTGCTGTGCTTTAACCCGCTGCGCCACCAGGGAGGGCCCTCAAGTGTCTTTTTAGCTTAATCATTTTTTACTTCATTATTAGACATTTCTGAATTCATACATCATCTTGGTATACCATTTGTATAGTGAAATATTTATTGTTTTGGTCTCATTTTTTAATTCACAATACTTTAGTAATAATGATAGAATCATACATATTTTATTGGGGGAATATGATGGCCAAGCAAGAATAGTGGAAAGAAGTAGGAGTTGGTTAAGAAAACATGAAATAATATAAAAAGATAAGGAATGCCTGGAATCACAAAAAAAGTTAAAATCATTATAACAAATAAAATTTTTGAGTCATCTCATTCTTCTACTGCATATGTTATATGAGATATTATATAATTTTATATTAGGAATCTTATCTAGCATTTAGCCCATTTCATAAGAGCCAACTTAGTTGCCTTTTTCTCTATTTGCTTTTTTCCTCTACTGTTCTCTGTTTCTGTTCTTCTAGCAGCCACCTTAATTTCATTAGCTCTATTACCTTAGGACTCTGACTACTCTTGATGAGACCATTTTTCCTGTCCTAATGTGACCAACACTACCACTGAGGATTTTTGTAACCAAAGGACCAAAATGGGACAGGTATCTCCGTAATACTTTTGAAACTAATCTTCAATGAATTCCTCTATTTTGCAAGAGTATTTGAGTTAGGGTCTGAGCATCATAGAGAAGTAGGATATAGTTTACCCATATTATTTTATACTTCTGACAGTGTTTAATTTCTTTTCTTATAGGAACATGCATTGGCACAAGCTGAACTTCTTAAGCGGCAGGAAGAACTAGAAAGAAAAGCAGCTGAGTTAGATCGTCGAGAACGAGAAATGCAAAACCTCAGTCAGCATGGTACAGCAAATTCTGAATTAAAAATAACTTTTAAACATTTTGAATTAAACCTTCACTAACTTTAGGTTGTTTGATTTGCAGATAAAACCCTGTCTGTTTATCTTCTCTAACAAGGAGATCAGATGCAGCAGATTTTTCATTTGCCATTCCCTAGATCTCTGATCTTGACTGATTTACAGTGTGGTCTTATGATTAGCAAGTGTTAGCTCATCACACAAAAAGTGAATGTGAATATTACAGTTTTGATTTATACTAAGGCTAGAAGCCTTTGATTCTTACTTGGGTCCTCTTCAAGTTTAATAAAGCTTTATGAATTCCTTATATTTGATTTTTTTTTTATTGAGAAAACCTTGGTGTACAGCATTGTATATAATTTAGAGGGAGTGGATCACATATTCAGTTGTATGTCATCACAGCACACCACACCACACCCACCACACACTGAAAGCTCTCCACTGTAGACCAATCTGCCCTTTTCCCATTTTGCTCCTTTTATTTCTCACCCCTCTTGCTTCTTAATTCTACAGTCAGAGTTCTAGGGTTTACTTTGGTCTTGTTCCTTTGTTTAATTTCTCAAACTGCATTTAACTTCTGATTTATTCAGGCCCAGTTTCAAGTTATCTGCCCTTGTCCTCATGAAAATATATCTGTCAAATCACGTTACAAAAATATGTCTGTAGTGACTCCAGGAAACTAGGGGTATTTTCAGAAATAAGTACTGAATTGATTATTTGCTCTGAAGTCTATTTAGACTTTGACTACCAAAAGTATGCCTCTGTCATCCTTTGACAATTTGATACTTTAAGGAAGTCTCTTAGAGAATGCTATTAATTTCTGGGCGAGTTGGGATAAAAGAGCTAGACAATTCATTATTAAGTCTAGAGTAACTATGGAATGACGAGGAGAGGACAACAGTATTATCTGACTTTTTCTTCTCACAGAAAATAAGTCTCAGATCTTGTGTGAATATATTTATCATGGTCCATTTTCTTGTTTGCAGCATCAATAAAAGAATAGATACTAAAGGTTTAATTGAAATCAATGTTTTTGAAATACCTGTAACTATGTCTTAGCATTGACTAATAAATTTCCATGAGAGATGTTTTAGTAAAATAATGTAGAGTGGGAAATTAAGAGTTAGACTTATAGTACTTTTTGTCTGTTATTTCATTTAATTTTCACTACAAGTCTGAAGGTTGGAATAGTTGTTGTCATTTTATGTAGAAAGTCTCCAAGAGGTTCAGTTGTTTACAACCTTTTAGCCAGTAAGTTAACAAGACACTCATGGTTTTACAGCCTTTTTTATTGTATGTTGCCTCTACAATAGTATGATATTCGCATGAGAAATGTATGAATATGAAATTTGAAAAAACTGATAAAACAGTGGAGACACATTGAAAAGCATAAGAAATAATTTGTATTCTTTTTCCTCTGAAAAATTTCCTGGTCTCTGTAAAACATGTAAGATCTAATTTTGAAAAATTGAATGATATATTATCTAAAATGAGATAATGGCCTTTTGATGCCATTTTTACCTTTTATTTTTAATATTTGATGACTTTAATTATACTTTATTTTCCAAATCCTTTTTCAGTCTCATCTCTTCACACAGACACATTTTTACTCCTTTTAGTTTGGGTTTGTTTTCCACTGAGGTCTTGATATTAATAGTTCATCATGACTCTTAGAGTTTTATGGTTTTCTTAGATATGGGTCTTTTGGGTGTTACTTTTTGTTAAGGGATTTCCAAATTTGATTCTTTGGTATTGTTCAAGTCCATAGTTCTTCATGAAGTTAACTGTAGAAAACTGGAAAGATTCAGAAGTTTGTCTTTCTGTTCCACATGGATTAGGGATTAAGTTTAAAGATTTAAGATGTTGAGGAGGAAATAGTACAGTTTTAAAAACTGTATCAACCTCCACATGAGACAGATTGTTGTGGCTTTGAAATTAGTATGTTTTCAAGACAGTCAGAGGATAGGATATTGTTTGTTTGTTTTTCTTTCAGATGTACATAAATCATTCTGCCTAAGCATACATACGTGTGTGTATGTATATAAATTTATGACACTCTGGAAAATTGTTTCTTATGTTTTCTAAAGTGATATTCTAAGCTATATATATTTTAAATGTAAAGTTTGACTTTCAGGTAGGAATGTAGAAAGAAATACAGCATTACATTTGTAAAACACTTATAAATATACAGTCACTTATGAAACCAAAAATATGAATAGCACGTACTTACCCTAATATAAGTAACTTTTTTTTTTCCCCAGGCAGAAAAAATAATTGGCCACCTCTTCCTGACAATTTTCCTGTGGGACCTTGTTTCTATCAGGATTTTTCTGTAGACATTCCTGTAGAATTTCAAAAGACCGTGAAAATTATGTACTACTTGTGGATGTGTGAGTACAGAAAAAATTGTCTTCTCAAGTTTAAATTTTGTTGTCAAAATTTGTGTTTTGGGGACTCACTTATTAAGGATAGCATAGTAAATTGGCCTTTCCTATAGCTTGTTTTGATTTTCAGAGTGAAACATATTTAGGTACTTCAGAATAGCAATATATACTGTAAGCATAGGAAAATGTTTGTATTGAGAACTGGCATTCTTATGGCGAAAGGACTTCTTTATCATGTAATTAAAATTTTGCAGCAATCCTTTTTCCTTTGAAAATGTTACTTAGACAATATTTGAAAAATTATGCTGAATATTTTTATGCAAATGTTTCTATGTTTCTAAGCATTATGACTTGTTAAATGGACATAGAATATTTTAATATAAACTAATTCTCTCATAGATTTTGGGCACAATTTATACTCATTTACAAGTGGTGATGAGTACTTATACTATTTAAAAATACATAATATAGGGTATTTTATTGAGTAGTACATTTATGACATACATTTTAGACTGTGATGCTCACATTGCTTTGAGTATAATTACAGCTCACTAAATAATAAAATATCAAGCTGTTAACAGTTTGCTGTATGTACACAGAATTTCTACTTAGTCTGTTTTGTTTTGATTTCAAACAGTAGTCCCAGCTCATTAATGTAATGTCAGTAGGAAAGGTGGCTGTCACCACTTTTCACGTGTGAATATGCTGTATTTATAGATCATTTGTATTGCATATTCTTGATGGTGAAACCTTGTGTGATTTTACTATGTGGTTAGGGAACCATTTTTTCCCTCCCTTTAAAGGTATGTGATAATTTTCCTCAGTCTCTTAACATTCTTCACATATATGAAGTTACTATGAGAAGTGATTCCTTAGGGATAGTATATTTTTAACTCTTAGTTTTTTTTTTTTTGCACAAAAACTAATGTCAATAGTACTGTATATTTTTAATATTAAAGGTTTTGAATCCTTATAGGTACATGTTAACCAATTCTTACTATTTAATCAATACATTAATTATATGCAGATCATTATATATTTATGTCTATAGATTACTATGAGTAACAAGCAACAATTAGCCTAGCAAATTAGATGTAAGTCTTTTGTGTTACTGAAAAACATTTTTTAGTGGTTGAGATGACGTAGGGAAAAATTTTAGAACTTCTTTTCTTGGAATAGCTCATGCAAGGGAATGTTTGCAACTATAGAATAGACATTATTCACCAATGCCACTACTCACCTCCGCCTTAAAACGAGAATTTTGTAAGGAATAGTAGAGATTGAATGAGACAGATGATTAATTTTGCCTGTTGGTTAACTACTTTACCAATCCTGATTATTTCAAAATAGAATGTTTTTTTTTTTCTTGAGATATATGTGTATGTGTGTTTATATACATATAAAGTTATACGTGTGTTTATATTCAGATAAAGTTATACATGTATATATATATATAAATTTTGAAGTTCTAGGAAAAACGATAACCAAGTGTATTATTTCTAATACTCTTCAGCTAGTATTTCTGTTTTAACTGTAGTCGAAAAAGGCTCCAGATTCTAGTTAGGGTGCTGGTTTGAGGAAGTAGTACTTGGAACAAAATAGGATTTAGTATCGGTTCAGTAGTTTCTGAATTTCATAGATGTTATTTATTATTTTCAAGAAGTTTCAACCTATTTCAGATTTGGGACAGTAATTATGAGTGAGAACATTTATTGAGGATTTACTTTGTGCCAAGAATAGTGCTGATCTCTTTTATATACTGTTTCATTTTAAAATTTTACCACAGTATGAAGTATGTGCACAATATTATCTAGTTTAATAGATAGGGAAACTAAAATTTAGAAAATTTCAGCAATTTGTCCAAAATTATACTGCAAGGTTGTAGTTTGATAACTTGACTTCAGAGTCTAGATTTCCATGTTTAAATGCCTAGAAAGTACCAAAATGGAATGCAGGTTACATCTTAAACCCAAATACATTGAAGCTCTGTCTTCAAAAGTACCTTCACTGAAGCTACTTATTTTATAAATGAACTGAAGCAGTAAGAAATATAACTGGAATGAATTTCAACCTCTTTGAGTGTAGACTTGCATTTTAAAAACAAAGATAGGAGATTATTTTATCAGAAATACAGTAACTATTATAAAGCTGTTTATGTTAGGCATTTAAATTGCAATGCAGAACTTATCAAGAATAATATTATACTGATAGTTGCAAATTTAGATCCACTAATACCAGACTTGAGTGCTTTAGATCTACTAAAACCAGATTTGAGTGCTTTAATAAAGCAAATTGAAATTTTATATTTAACTGCCAAATCACATAAACATAATTGCCCCCCCCTTTTTTTTTTTTGAGTGTTCTTACCTATACTTAGAATTCTTCATGTGGATTGGAGTGGGATTGAATTCAGCAACATAGAATCCTGCATATCACATTACTTTGCCTTTCCATATGGTTTATAATCTGAGTGGACTGATTGTTTTTAAGTAGGTCTCCACAGTTTACTCCTTATTGGGGTAATATAAATGACTTATTATAGTTGTTGGTTAATATAAAAATACAGAACATGTTTTTAATAGAATACATGAAATTGATGTTTTTATCTATATTTGGGAGAATTTTCATGAACTTTAAAATACACATACCCATATATTGTCTTTAAGTGGATTAGAAGATAAATCTTTGTTTTTTTCTGAAGATTGAAAATTGAGTTAAGATGTTCTCAGCAGTTAGCATATTCAGCTATTGGGCTGTTGGAAAAGTCATGACGTCTGCTTTCTGTTTTTCATCAAAAGTGTGTCATGACTTTTCCAACATCCCAGTATTTTAGTCTCTTAAATGTCATTTAATGTTCTAGAATTATTTTTTACTGAGTTTCTTGAATTCTTTTTAAGCCCTAACAGAATGTTTTATTTTGAATAAATTTATTAATAAGCTAGGTTTCAAGACAGAAATACTAATGGGAATAAAATAATTACTAAGAGTCTGTCTTGTGTAATGAAATTTTAGACCTGGAAGATCTCTTGCATTTCTATAATTGAAAATTGAAGGGCACAGACGTTGATTAGCTTCAGTATTACATCAAAATCAAGGTGTTTTCACTTCTTTTGAACTCTTCTAGAATTTGTATATTTATCTAGTTATTAGATGAGACCAAATTTATAGACATCCTATGTTTTTATCTTTCATAAATTAATTTTGATTAGTTAAAGATTAGTTTATTTTAATACATTTGAAAACCCAGTATAATTTTTTTATTTATTAGTGCAAAGTGGAAATTTGTGTGTTTTATTGTAGTGATAATTTACATTGAACATTATTTTAATTTTCCAAAGAATTTCCTATAATTCAGCTTGTAGATAATTTTAAAAAATTCTTCTAAAATAAATTTAGTGCTTTAGCATCACAGTATATTTAAAGGTTTTAGCATATAAGAGAAAGCATTTATGAATGTGCGTATCTGTTTTTATTAACTAAAAAGACAGATCTGCCAGGGCAGAAATTCCAATAGTTAACTTTTTTTTTTTAACATAAATTCAGTCCTCCACCAAAACAACTTTTATCCCCAGACACTATAAAAATGATCAATTGTATGAAGATGAATTAACAACACTTACAGATTAATTATCCAGTCACTGGAAATAGTTATTAGAATTTTTTTAGTCCATTGAGTCTAATTTTACTGCTTAAAAATGTTATGAGTTTGCACAGGGTGCATATCCAGTTTTCTCTGTGTAGTCTACTCTGGGAGTTATGTGCAGCCACAATTTAAAAATAAGGTTTTTTGAATATAGGATCTTTTCCCTTGCAAGTCCTGGTTCGTTTCCTGACAGGCACTGTTCTTCTTGGATCTTGGATCAAGTGCACATCACATGTTTCCTTCTCACAGAGGAAATCCGGAAGGTAGTACTTCTCTGGTTAATTGCCCATGAGAAGAGTTTCAGAAGTTTCTGTACAACAATGCATGCTATAATAAGATTTTTTTTTTCTGGTGTATATACTGTGTTCAAGTCAAATGTGTAATAAATAGCATTGTTTTTGAAAAATACTGAATGGAAACATGGGGTACAATGCATTTGCTCTCAGGAATTATTTTTTCTATTTACAATTTTTTTGAATGAACTCACCAATTGAATATGAATATTTGTTTTTTTCTTTTTTAATTCCACAGTCCATGCTGTAACACTGTTTCTAAATATCTTCGGATGCTTGGCTTGGTTTTGTGTTGATCCTACAAGAGGGGTTGATTTTGGATTGAGTATCCTGTGGTTCTTGCTTTTTACTCCTTGTTCATTTGTCTGTTGGTACAGACCACTTTACGGAGCTTTCAGGTAACATGTGTATACTTTAAGATATGCTCTTTAAAATTTGTGAAGTGAAGAATTCATATTTTAAGAGAAAATTGACAAATTTTCATTTTTTCCCTGTTTTTAACAACTTCAGAAAATGCATTATGTAAAATGCTTTTGTATTTATTTGGTTTTGTAAGTCAAAAAATCCCATTCTTTTCTCATTTGAGAAAAGATCAAACATAAACATGAATGAAGGAAAACTGGGAAGTCTTATGTCTTAATATTTGTAAAAATTCATATTCTACACTACTATACTAAGGAAAATTTTGCTTTTCGTTCTTCCTCAAAAAATGTCATAAATGGTAGTTAATTCTTAAATGAGCCTAGGTAAGGTAAACATACATGTGATATTTAAAGTGAATTACTTTCACCTAGAGTCTTGGTTAACTATTTTCTGTGTAAAATCAGCTTTTGGATTTGAAAAACTACTTAGGCCGTAAGAATAAGTGTAGTACTTTGCATTGTGTATTTTAATCCATAGTTGAAACATTTCCACTAAGTATATGTTATATGGGATATTAAAAGGTGTTGTTAAAAATAGGGTTTGTTAGCTTAAGTTGGGAACAGCTGGATTATATAAAAAAGTTGACCAAATTTCTTTTTAGGATTTCTTAGACTCTTTATAAGCTTAATGTGCTATGTGAGTTTGGCTATGAATACATATTTTTGTGTGTGTGGAACACAAATTGCTAAGCTATTACTTTAAGAAATAAACATTGGAAATGCTGATTTAGGTTGTCCTCTGAAGTCCATATATTTAATCATTTTATCAAATCATTTATTTAAGTAAACTTGCTTATGGATAATGAAAGAAACAGCATTAGGCAGTTAAACACGTGTTTTGCAAATGAAGTATTAGGAAATTGGAGGGTCACATATAGTTAAATATTTTCCATTTAAATATAAAATTTCTTTGATTAACTGGACTTTGCATTATCCCCTTTCCCCCATCACACTCAACTGTGGCATTTGAAACCTAGGTATGTAACTAGATGAGTCAGAAACATGGGGAAAAGATTAAGGAATTTGAGAGAAAAGGTACCATTCAGTAGAAAATAAATTGGTTAAAAATGAGTTGTAGGGAAGAAAATAGGTGAAAAGGTTGAAAGAACTTTTGTATATATTGGAATGTGGAATGTTGGTTATCAGGTAATGGGGAGGGTCTTGGCAGATGTGGGTTGGAAAAAAATAAAAACAACTTATTTACTTGTTGTATGATCTACAAAGAGAGTTCCTTCCCCTCTTTTCTTTGTTACCTAAATTAGACTCATTGTGCTTTTCCATTTTTAATTTTTTGATATCTGTCTCCTCAGCCTATATCTATTTCTGTCATATTACCAATCTATCTAATGATGCTGGTGGGTGAGAATGAGGATATTTTTAAGAGTCGACTGCCCTTTAAAATACAAGATGGTTTAAAGTGCACATGGAACCCAAAAAGGATAGGGGGAAAGGAGACAGACAGAACAGGCAGAGTAGAAGGAAATTAATGTATTTTGGTACATGAACAAAATAAATACATATGCAAAAAAAGTGACCTGAGACTAGAGTATTTCTATTTGAACCATTCTGTATTTAATGTAGCCAAAATAAACTTCTGAAGCCAGATTTCTGACACTTATTACTTAAAGTAATGTGGTTCTTTTTACTTCCTTTCTTTGCCAGATGAAATAAAAATGCTTTGTGGAACAGTTTTACTTCTGACATTATTAATCTGTAGCCCAAGTTCTTAGCTGCATCTCTTAACTCCATCTTAGCTCTTTTATAGTGTATATATAAAAATTGCTAATTATCTTGGTTTCACTGTTCAGAGCAGAACTAAGAATTAACTTTTTATGGGGTAAGTTGATTTAAAATGTATTTTAAGTCATAATATACCTTCTCAGTATGTAACTTTGGCATTTCCTTCTTCAAGATTGCCAAGTATTTCTGTGTTTTAAATCTTTTCTGAGTATCTAGTAAAGTTTGTTAAATATATAATGATGGCAGAAATCTTCCTTAAAGGATATGAAAACCTCAAACCAGGTATATTAGGCATGATTGTATTAAGTATATGGCTTTAAACAGACCTCTTCAGGTTAGTACTATACTTGAGATCAATTGTGAGGGAGGTTATTTATTGCCTTCTGATAAGAACAGGGTCAGATATATGTGGTATTTCATGTTCTGTTTCAAGATTGGAAAGTGTAACACAAGGCTCGCAACATGCTGTGTAATTATCAGAAATCAGATGACTGAAGCTTTTAGGCACATTCACATATTTCTTCTAGGAAGTTTTTATTGAGGGCCTTCCAGGTGGCTCAGTGGGTTGGGGTGCAGCACTATAGGGCTGTCCAGGGCCACTGCAGCACGAGTTCAAGCCCCAGCTGGGAAGGTGAACCACATGGCACAGCAGACTTCTCCTGCCCCACCTATTGCCCCTCTCAACAGCGTATTTTCAGTTTATCCATCTATTCAGTTCCTCACTCTGTCTTTCAGAAGTCTTCTCACCCTGATCCCTGCACCTTTGGCCTGTGCCCCTGTTGTTGTATGCGTAGATGACTTTTTTTTTTTTTTAATTATTACAAAAGTTTATTTTTACATCATTTTGCACATTTTTTTTTCCATCTCGATTGTAATCCCCGCAGGTTTCCCATCACCAAATGATGACTTTAAAAAAAAAAAGTAAGCTTTTTACTTTTTAATCACACCCTGTAATTAAACTGAGTTCTTTAAAAAAAATTTTTACCTCCATTGGCTAATGATACATTTGCCTCTTTAAGTATAACATTACTTAAATACCTATTGTGAATTTTAATTTCTCTATAGATTTTTCTAGAAGCAAAGAAGCATAAGCAGTAAGAAAAACATACCATTTGTTTATTTTAGAATAAACCCAATCATTGCAAACATGCAAGTTAGAAGGGGACATTATGTATTATCAGGTTTTTTTTTAAATGCCCAGTAAATTTTTTTTTTCTTACAGATAGGTGCTAATTCCAATTTTCAGGAGTAACTGTTACTTTGTGGAGGAGTACTTAAAATAACTAGAGGGCAAGTTTATATTTCTAGAATAAAAGTTACATGTATAGCTTATTTCCTTTTCTGCCCTCCTGTTGACTCAGTCTAAGAGTAAATTTAATGCCTCAACTTCTTTTTTTAAAATGTTAACAGTTAACCTTGTTGTAAGAATTTGTTATAAGTTGTCTAATATAATGAATCTATTTTTTAAAAAAATATTTACTCATGCTTACAGAACTGGGGTACAGGCCAGAGGTGTGGTGGGTGAGAGGATTCACCAGAGACAGAGCAGGGAACAGAATGGGCAGATTGACAAAGTACACTGCTGAGGGTCACAGCAGGCTGGTCAGTAGAGGTCTGCCACACCATGTTGGTCACCTCTCTAGCTGGGGATTTAACTCATGCTACAGTGGCTTTGGAGAGCTTGTTAATGTAGTGCTTTAACCCGTTGTGCCACAGGAGAGCCCTATTTTTTATATTAACTCTAAATAATTGTTTTAATTGAATTGTGAAGTACCTTCAGATTGAGGTAAAACAGTTTATAATAGTCTTAGAATTTGTTGAGAAATTTTAATCTAAATTTAAGTGATTATATTCAATAATTGCATAATAAATCATTGTAATAATTACATGTGATAAAGGTAGGCTCTAAGAATAATTTTTTAGTTTGTTATGCATCTGAAGTTTGTTTTCCATTGTTGCCTGGCTTTTATATTGGTATTTCATTAACACATTTATGATTGTGTTCATTTGATTCTTTTAAGAAGGTGTTAATATAAATTAATGATTGCATAGCAGTTGTAAAACAAAGACATACCTTAAGGTTAACTTAATCATTCATTGAATATTGACAATATTCTAGATGGTCAGTAAATGGTAGCTAGAATTAATGTTTTGCCTTTTTATTTCTGTGTGTTTTGTCCACTGGTGCCACAGTCTGAGCTAGAGGAAACCATAGTAAATACTAAGGTGTTGATCCTTTGTATTGCCAGACAAGAAAACTTTTGAACAAGATAGTCCTATAATCTCATTTTTAAAACAGGTTTTTGTATGGATATGTTTTGTTAATAATAAATTGGGTTATTGGAACAGTCATGTGTTTTTTCTGTTTTTAATTTGTATTACATATTCATTTATACTACATATTACATAAAACTAGTTATGTACTTTTTTCCTTGGGATAAAATTAGTTACAACTGTGTAGGTTCGAGGATTACATTTTCTTATTACACTGGATAACAAATGTTCGTTTACAATCTACCACCAACCAGTGCAGTTGTCTCTAACCATCCCTTCCCGCCTTTCTCCTCTAGTAACCACCGTTCTGTTGTTAAGACTGGTGGTTTTGTTTTCCTTATATTCCACAAATGAGTGAAATCATAGTGGTTTGTCTTTCTCTTTCTGACTTATTGCACTTAACATAGTCCCTTTACAATCTGCCCATATTTTTGAAAATGGTGAGATTTTATCTTCTAGATGATAGTATTCCATTCAAGTATGTATCACATCTAATTAATACACTCATCTGTCATTGGGCACTTAAGTTGTTTCCAACTTCCTGTTGTAAAGAGTGCTACAATGATAAGTGCATACAGTCTCTTCAAGTTGGTGTTTTGAAATTTTTCGGCATAATTAAAAAAAATGCCTTTCTTGCATCATTTCTCAGATTCTACTAAAGTAGAAGATGCACTGCCAAAATGAGAAAGTAAACAAGACAAACATGAGATTCAGAAAATAAGGTCTCTGACAGAAGAGAGGAAGGACCAGTTTATTCCCACGATAATTTTGAAAAGAGGTATAAGATGACTAGTTTGGTGGTTATCCCAGTGCTTACTCAGTTCAGAGTTGAGCAGGTCAGAAGACTAAGAGAAACAGCTTCAGGAAGCTATACATGTTATTACTTTTAATAACTTTAAATGTGTTAAGAACAGATTTACACAAATTAGAGATTAGTAAAAATAGATAAGTGCATATAAAAA